TTTCTACAGCTTGCTCTGTGCCTCAGTCTCCCCAGCTGATAAATGGGATAAGAAAACCTTTGTGAATCTCTCAAGTTCTTTGCATAACAAACACTGTGTAAAGTGCTAAATATGCATGACGCAAAGGGACAGCTCCTCCAAACTCTTAATATACCATCCAGTTTCCCAACAACATCAGTTTACTACGTGAAAAATTATTCCCCTGCCTCCTCCCCAAAAGATTGTTCTGGCACACAGCTGCAGTTCCAAGACAGCACAGATGGGGCTCTGGTAGCTGGATGCTTCCCAACCAGCCTGCACTTCCTTGTTTTCTCTAAGATCCCTTCCCCACCACCCCAGAGCCAAAAGGTCTGTGTCTGGTTTGTTCCGTTTATCTCATGTTCAAGTTCAGGGTTTTGCAGACCCAGAACTGCCTATGGAATGAGTAGCCATGCTTGTGTCTACACTCTTCACCTTCCTCATAATTAACTGTTCTCCATGCAAAGAAAACGTACTCACAGGGCTATCGATGCTGCTCTGCTTGGCCATCCATAAGTTTACCTTAAACTTATAATGTACTGCAGCAAAATGTAGTGCAAGTGTTATGCAACACAACACCTTAGGAAAAAGAGCTGGTTGACATGCCCAGAACAGTAAAGATTTCCCAGCTTTGAGGCGATCCCCTGAGCTCTGCTCAGCAATGCCACTGCTGCTGGTTGTGGTTGAAATTGGGAAGAGGAGCAGAGCGCCAACAAAACAAAGGCAGGAGCATCCTTGGAAGGGAGAGCTCCTGACTGATTGTGTGTAGCAGTTTGCTCTGAAGCGGTTTGTCCTAGCCGATAGGCTACGCCCCCTCCTTGTTTCTCATTTTCAAGTATTAACATCTCTACCATTGCTTTGGGAGACAGTGCCTGTAAATAGTCTGCCACACGCAAAACAGAGCTGCTGTCAGCAGTTTTACATCACGCTTCTGCAGCTCTTTGCCTTGAAATTATATTAGGTCCCTTAGTAGTTAGGAAGTAGATATGCACATAAGAAGATGCAAGATGATTTAAATATCCTTGCTTTCTTAACATATACGGTATGCAAACCAGAGTCTACCTTCCACCCTGTCCTATTCCTGTGAACAAGCTTAGAAGCCTACATAAGATGCATAATGAAGTGATCTAGATAAAATAGCTGCAACCAGAACAAGATGGCTGGGAAGCATCTGTTTCAGACACATTAAAATGAGTATTTTTCATCCTGAGGATCTGTTTTTAAACTTCATCTGGGTAACTCTCTGTGTCCCCAGAGGCATAGATTTACCTCTGGCAGGCTCAGAGTACATGTCTGAACGCTTGAACAGTCTTGTTCCTACCGTATACGGTTCAGCATGGACTAGGCTTACAGAGACATTGGAGTTGTTGTACTGCTGCATGGAATTCTTCATATAGCCTTGACAGTTATGACTGTATTCTCATTATAAGGCATAAAATACATTGTACCCACAGAAATGCATGGACAAACCTCTGAAAAACAAGCTTGTTTGCCTTCAGTACAATCAAATGTGGGTACTGCAATAGAACATTCATATCTTGTAGTACAGAAATTACAAAGCAGCATATGCATGTCACAGCTGCTGATCTGAGTATCCAGCTACTGTATTTCAACTCTCAGGAGGAGCATCTCTGAAACTGTGTGCCTGAAATTTCCCTTGTTACATAGAATTCCTTATATCTTGTATCCTTAGAGAAACAAGTCACAGATAACATCGCAAACTTCAGCAAAAGCAAAGCACTCAGATCCCCTGGGATTCAGCAAGCCCCAGACATTTAAAAATCTATCACACTGAAATTTTCAGCCTGAACTTTTTTCAATACAGTTTTTTTGGAAGACAAATAAAACAGCATTTTTTTTTTTTTATTAATGAATTAAGCATCGCTCACTAGTAAAATATTCTGGACCTACTGAGCTCTGTACTTTCCTCTCCCTTTTGGTAAGAGTATAGCCCTAAAAGCATCCTTTAATTAGACTTTGTTTTGTTGACATCCTCACAGTTGCTTACCCCTCGGTGTTCTTATCACACGGGTTCTTTGGGCTGTGAGAAGAGACCTCCTTGTTTACCTTCCACAGCTAAAAAGGATAAGGCATCTCAGCAACAGTTCCTGCCATGTCAGACCTAAAGGGCTACATCACTATCTTTAGCGGAAATTCTTAACGCCTGCCTAGACAACATGAATTAAAGTGACAGACTGCCTTCTTAATATAGTTGGCAATTCTGTATTAATAAAGTTCTACAGGGAAATGTTCTAATTTGAGATTTTTTTTGGTTTAAAGAAGTGCTTATGGTCTTTCTATGCCTTCCTAAAGCCTAACATGAAACAAAGATCAAAAATGTCTGACCTTTAAAATTTTCAGTCTTCTCTAGAAATTGGAACAGTTAGGTATAAGCTGAAAACAGAAACCAAGATCTGTTTCTGGATTTCATCCATCTGTGCCTTACTTTCAGCTTTACATAGTGCTCTTGTTAGATGTCTTTTTTTTTTTTTTAATTAAAAAAAGACAACTACGTAATATTTCAAACACAAAACAAAACCCATACAAGGCAACGCACTTGCACAGAGCCTCCTTTATGTAACTATAGAAGAGTTGATGACTATGAAAGAGGAAACAATTCAAAACCCAAGAAAAACCCCTACAGTTTTCCCATTTCCAAAAATAAAATAAAACAATGCTCTCCTTGCAATGAAATTTTTAGTTCAGCATTTTCTAATAAGAGTATTTACAGGAAACTTTGCCATGCTTTCCCTCAAGGAAACTTTTTCAAATAGAAACCAATTCCTATTTGATACAGCTGATAAAAGAAGAGAACAAGGAAAAGCAACGGCCCAAACTCTTCTCTCTTCCTGCTCCTTATTTTTGTGCTTACTGTGATCTGTGCCCAAATGTCCTTCTGCTGACATTTAAGACAAAAAAAGCAGAAATGTGAAAGGCCTGGAAAAGAGGAAGCAAGGCAGCAAAATGTTTATCATGCCAAAATTAGAAAGTCATTGGCAATAAAAGACCCTGCACTGACAACACTAGGACTAGATGATTACCAACTTTCTAAAATTTAACAACAACAAATCCAGCAACAACAACAATCAAATGAAGCCCTAAAGCTTTCCCCTTTGGCAGACAGTCCATTAAAAGTAAGATCTGTTACTAGTGGTAACAGCTGTACTTTGTTGCTTGATCTAGAATAAGCAAAAAAACCCAAACAGTAATGCAAACAGCTTCTCAGCAACTGCCTTCAGCCTTTTACTATCATACAGCATTCCAGTAAATACACTTCCACTAAATCTCAGCTGCAGCTAATTTCTAACCACAAAATACTGACTGAGCCACGCCTGAGCAGTAAGAGGCTGCCTACCCCTCGTCACAGGATGCAGAGGAGTTGGTGGGGAGGTGACTTGAGACACCCAGTAACGGGCTCCCGCCTTCTGAAACCAGCACAGGGCATTTTGCCCATGTTGCAAGTGAGCTCTGGCACCAGAGTAGCCACATCAGTGCAATGAAGCGCCTGAGCTGGTTAGCTGTGCTGAGTTGAGCGCAGTTCTTCACTAATGCAGCTACGAGGCTTTTGGGACCCAGGCTGTAGCTCTGCATGGTCTGCTGCTTCTAACTGGCCCAAGCTGGCAGCTCTGCACCACACACGCTGTTTTGCAGAGTGGACAGGTCCCTCACGAGTCCTGACTCCAAAGCAAATCAGTAGTCCTCCTGAACCCAAGTTCAGTTACTGACGTCAAAGAGACTAGGATTTCATTGTTAAGAATAAAAGCAAAACCCAGCAATATTTCTAATCTCAGTGACTTTTATAAGACCTGTATGCAGAAAGACACCTCCGCTTATAAATGGGGCAAGAGAGTGGCTTCCAATTTAAGAAAACCAGAGAGTGACTCAAAAGGTTAATTCCAGTTCTGTATTCCAAAAGAAAATCTCAGACTAAACGAATTAGGAAGAAAATAATTCAGTCTTTTCCCTGGTTATGGAACATTTGTAGCAAATCAATAGTTTGGAGTAAGTCAGAAGTAAGAGTATTAGTGTGGGGGCACTACGTTTATGTAATCCACTCCATCTTTGGCATTCTTGTCTCTGCACAAATTGGGGGATTTATTCCAAGCAATTGTAAATGCTAACTAACAAAATATAGGACTATCAGCTTTCTTCACTTCCCAAAGCTAACTCTGGAAAAATAAATTGCAGAGATTTCAATAAGTATTTGAACAGATCCCCTTTTGAATCCAACATTTTTGAGGTTTGGGAAATCTGTTTAAAAAACAAAACAGAAAACATTTTTTAGAGAAGTATCTCGTCTTCATTCTCTTAAAATTGAAACAATTGAAAGGATATGAGCTGACCCCTTTTTATCACCTCTCCCAAATATCTTTTAGGTCAATCCTGGGGGATTTAACAGTTATATATATAAAAAAAAAAAAAGATTAAAACAGCATCACTCAAAAATCTCAACAGCTTCACTCACACCTCACTTCTCAAAAGAGTTTCACTCAAAATCCACTTTTCAGACTTGCAGATTTTTCATCTCCAATACAGAGGGTTTTGCCCAGGTTTACTACAATGTAAGGAACAGATATACGAGCATTTCCTGAATGTCCTAGATTTTATTGTTAATCATTAATATTAAAAATGATTGTTACTTTAAAAAGTCAAATAAAAACAATATACAGCAAACATGACATTAGAGTATTATATACACAGCCATAATACAGAATAGTTTAACACAGTTGTACTCCTATCACATAGTTGTCTATTTTAGCAAAGAGACTACACTTTAGCATATGGCAAATAGAGGTTCTGATGTCAACTTTAGATAGCCACTTGAAGATTGCTTAAAAAACTATTATTTATAGTAAACTTAAAGTCTGGATGCAATCCCTGGTATGTTAACAGATAACACAATGCTCTTAGGATTTTTGGGAAACTGTAAG